CCAAAAAAACGAAAAGAAAAAAACTAAAAAAAAGGAAGAAGGGAAAATCAATAAATAAATTAAACATCAAGACAGAATTTGGAATATCAATCTTCTCGGGTTCAACTTTTTGCTCTTATGTCTCATCCCCATCCCAATCCACCTCGCAGAAGGTTGGTTGCTTAAGTACAAGTAAGGTCAAACTGGACAAGTAAACCTTTTCTTTCCTAATCATGGCCACAATAACTTAAACTTAAGTTTTCATATAATAGATTGGTTAAAGCCTTGTAAATGTTCTGAAAACCTAATAGCTATCTGAAGACCAAATTGTCAACCCCCTACATCCTAGTTTCTAGCTTTTCTTGGAGCTCTTGGATTGTTCATGCTAATTATTTTGTTTTAGGTACGAGATATATTCTCAAAAGCAGCTGCAGCAGCACCATGCCTTCTATTTTTTGATGAATTTGATTCTATTGCGCCAAAGAGAGGGCATGACAACACTGGTGTTACTGATAGAGTTGTTAATCAGGTTATTTCTTGTCCACATCTTTTGTTGTTTCCATCCTCTTACCTTGCATAATTTTCATTCTTGTTTAATTAATGCAGTTTCTTACTGAATTGGATGGTGTTGAAGTGTTAACGGGTGTATTCGTATTTGCTGCTACAAGGTTAGCGTCTAACCGGATGGGCTTTGTTTACTATTGCTTTCAAATTTTTGCCTTCACTTGCATATGTGGTACCCGCATTTCATCCGTTGGCACTTTTGTCGGTTCTTGGCCTTGTCAGTGATTGAGCATATATGCAGCCTTGTTATTTTGTTGAATTTTGTACTACTAGATAGTAATTAATGCAGGTTGAAACAGACACACAGAGATACATGGGATGGAGGGTGCATCAGTTAGTTTCCAGATTTTTTGCCATTGAAGTCTCAAACCGTTCAGTGAATTTTACTTAATTGCTAGGTTGGAAATTGTTACCCTACGAGATGGACCACTGGGGAGAGGGGAATTTATAGAACAAAGGCATTCGTTAATCTTCTCTTCAATCTTTAGCAGGGACTAGTCATTGGAAAAAAGGAAAAAATTCTTTAGGTCAGAGATTAATAAAATTCTTTATTTATTTAAGCAGTCATTTTACAATGCCACTAATGTAATGGGCATTTTTTTTTAAAAATAGCTTTATATTTTTGATATAGTAGTAGGCACAGAAGTATAGGAAAATTGAGATTTAGAAATTTCTTTCTGATACTCTCTACTCTCTAAAAGCTAATGGTGCCTCACATAATAAAAAGGGAAAAAAAAGGCCAGAAACAACTGGTTGAAAGAACTTGGATAATATATTTTTTTATTGTTTGTCCGTTGAACATCTTTTTTGAGGAGATTATGAAGAACAAGGGGTCGTGTCAAGCTTAGGTGGTCCAAAAGTTTTGTAATGCTTTAAAGATCAAGCTAGAGTCTTCCAACTTGGTATCCCTATTTACCATGTTGAGGTTATCGGTTCTAGGCAATCTCATGCGTGTCACTGAAATGGAAAAATACACACGGATACATTTGAATAGGTGTGTACGTGAGTGCCCGAGCACACGCGAAGACATCTAAAATATTCTATAGATCAGCAGCTGCTTTCTCTTTGACTAAATCCTTTTACTTGACCTATAATTATTTATCTAATAATATTTGTCTTCCTTTTACTTGTAAAAAGAAACTAATAAGATCTGTCCTCCTTTTAGTTAGACTTGGTTGGCAGCGTTATCTCTGTGACATGCAAATTTGCATGCCTGCACCCCTTGCCTTTGAGTCTTTGAGAGTGAATACTACATGCAACTCATTCTACATGGTATTTGTATACACCTAATGAAATGCCTGTGAGAATCTCTACTGGAAAGTAATTTGAGTCTCCTGAATATTTTTCCTTTTTGGCGCAATGACATTTAGTTTTAAAGGTACATCAAGTACCCGTGTCTGAATTAAGGCTGTATTGTGGCCCGGGCCCGGGC